TCAAAGCCATGACTGAAAGAAAGTCTTTCGAAACTTTTGCCCAGGCCTAATGTTATATATTATTTAAAACTGAAATGATTTGTAATACTGAGATAACTAGATTATTAGAAACTCCCCCCCCCAAAAAAAAGTGGGGAGGGGATGAAAAATCTGGAGACAGTCTTAAGGCTAGTTCATGTAATGAGCCCTGCTACAACGCAACCTATTGCGCTCACAGTATGCCTGCAGCACAGAGAAAATTTAGCCTGTTTCCTTTATGCCGGTCTTCCCTGCTGCTTGCTGCAATATGCAGGCTGGGAATTGAGGAGCATACTGATGAGTCAGTCTTTCCAATTAAGAACGCATTGAAGGCATGAGTTATGCCTCTGAAAATACGCTCTTTGTGAAGTAGAGGTGCTGTTGTTTGCTAGTGATCAGCCAAATAATTTGCTTACTTCCAACAAGCCACTATCAGGGGGGCTGGAAGTGCTGTTCACACCAAGCATAGTAGCTCTCTCTGAGTCCCCAAGAAGAGAGGTAACTAGGAATAATATTTAAATCCAACATTACTAAGGATCTCTCCGGAGAAAATGTCTCATTCTTTTCTGCCTGGAATCAGGATATGATCCAGACAATGCAGGAGAAGAATAAACAAGGACAGCATTATTAGAGGGTTGGTCGTGAGAAAGATAAGTAGGATAGGATAGAGTGAAGAACTATGCAGCAGGCATGGTTGAGAGTAGAGTGGGGTTAAGAAGGAGGAATAAGCATTACATAGCTAAGGTTCCCAGTTTGATAGATGCTTGCAAACCATGAATTATGGATTTGAATGTAAGAAAACGTGGCATAGTGTTTCATCTGAATGAACCCATTAACATCTCAACAGAGATGTTCCAAAATTTCAAGATGTTCAGTGGAAATTATTTCCAGGCTGGGAAGGATTATTTAGAGAAAGAAGCCAATTGAGCTCAGTGGCACATATGTCAAAGTCAATATGCTTAACAACTACAATTTCCTATTGGATTATTTATACAACATTTTGTTTGCAACATCTAGCTAAGCCAAATAACATGCCAGATTTTATTATGATAAGCATTGTTAAAACTAAAGCACAAGCAAAATGGTTTTAAAAACAAAACATAGACTGTGTAGTAAAAAGCAAGTAAATCACTGCACTTTCTTTTTTTTAAGGGTTATAGCTTGCTTTAATAATATTTATTTAACTACGAAACATGAGAATCCAATGTATCTTTTACAGTAGTTCTATGTCAGATTCAATTTAAACCTTGCCCAAATTTTGGTGCAGCTATATTGCTTGTAATTTATAAATACCTCATTATTAAGAGCAATCAGTTATTAAACAATTACATTGCTCTCAGTGTTCTACAAATCAGAATGTATTTGAGCTAGTTTATTATGCTTTCATTTCTGAACTTTGTGGCAGAGTGGAATACATGCCAAAGCAAATCAGATGTTAGTGATGAAATGGAAAGCTTCATCCAGCCCACCCCTCCTAGTTAAGAACAATAGATAATGATCTAGAATTCTTCTTTTCCATTTGTTCATTGTATAAAAGAAAAGAGCTTCAAGGAAATGTAAAGAAAAGACAAGAAGGAAATGAAACAGAATTGAAAATATGTGTTTTCATATCAAACTCACCAAAGAAGAATTATAGTCTCGAAATAGAAAACACAACTTCAACGTCTGATTAACTTATTCGTAGCATTTATAATATCTTTATTTATTTATTTATTTATTTATTATTCAAATTTCTATACCGCCCTTCTGCTTTCGGACTCAGGGCGGTGAACAGCCAAAATAAAAACATTTATACATAAATACGATTAAAAATAGATTTAAAATAATTAAATTTGGCCCATAGTTTAAAATTTATCAATTTAAAATCCATATCAAAATTTAAAACCAACCATAAAATCATAAAATCAAGAGAGACCGGCTAACTGAAAGAGATGAGTTTTTAGGGCCCGACGAAAAGTCCGGAGGTCGGAGATCACTCGTATTTCTGGGGGTAGATTGTTCCAAAGGGTAGGTGCCACCACAGAGAAGGCTCTCCTCCTGAGGGTCGCCAGCCGGCATTGTCTAGCCGACGGCACCCTGAGGAGGCCCTCTCTGTGGGAGCGAACTGGCCGGTGGGAGGCTATTGGTGGCAGAAGGCGGTCCCGTAAGTACCCTGGCCCTAAGCCATGGAGCGCTTTAAAGGTGATCACCAACACCTTGAAGCGCACCCGGAAGTCCACTGGAAGCCAATGCAGCTCGCGCAGGAGAGGAGTCACATACTGAAAAAAGTACATTATACATTTAAGGTTAATACAGGTAGTCCTCAACTTACAACCATTCATTTAGTGGCCATTTGAAGTTACAATAGCACTGAAAAAAGTGACTTATGATTGGTTTTCACACTTACAACCATTGAACCCATCCCATGGTCATGTGATCAAAATTCAGGTGTTTGGCAACTGACATGTATTTATGACAGTTGCATTGTCCCAGGGTCATGTGACCATTATTTGTAACCTTCCCAGTTGGCTTCTCAGAAGCAATGGGAGAAGCCAGATTTGTTTGAAAACTGCATGATTCAGTTAAAAACTACGCTTAACAACTGTGGCAGAAAAGGTCATAAAATGGGGCAAAACTCACTGAACAACTGCTTTTGGGCTCAATTGTAGTCATAAGTTGAGGACTATCTATAATAAATTAACTTACATTAACTCAGTCTTTCCCAGGTGTGCCTTTCCTTTTCCACTTCCTCTTGAGTAGAATGGAGGGGACAAGATTGTGAAAACCACAGTTGTGTCATGTTAGACAATTTCTTTGAGGGCAAGAGAGAATTAGAAGATTGTGCTTGTTTTTCCTCACATTTTAGCAAAATAGCAGAAGTGTATCATGAGATTGGTGACGGTGTGATGAATCTCACTGCTCAGTAACGGAGCTTCCAAAAAATGTTTTTTCACCCTGGCTCCAGAGTGATAGATTATAGCTTTTTTTTCATTCTGATAATGACCAGTTCTATGGCTATATATCCGTTTAGCAACTTTATATTATCTAAATCAGAGCTGTCCAACCTTGGCAACTTTAAGACTTGTGGGCTTCAATTCCCAGAATACCCCAACCAGCATGGCTGATTGGGGAATTCTAGGAGCTGAAGTCCACAGGTCTTAAAGCTACCAAAGATGGACATCTCTGATTTAAATATATGGTTTTGCCTCTGTGACAAAGAATCCAACACCTAAAACATCTCTTTCCCTTCTTGTTTTTCGACTATCACAATTTTCATGGGATTAGCTTTTCATCGTCACCGTCACCATGATTCACTCAGCAAACTGTGCTAACTCAATTTGCTTTATCTGGTACCCTGTGTTCAGGAATAAAGTTTCCTGATGATGATCATATACAATTTTCAAGGTTATATTTAGCGAAGGAAAATTAAGGTAAAAGGGGAAAGAATATAGATACAAAAGGATGAAGGCTATTGCTGAGCACATTGTAAGCCGCCCTGAGTCTCCGGAGAAGGGCGGCATATAAATCAAATTATATATATATAAAAAGTAAAACAATTTCAAAGTATCTATTTTCTCCACAGTCTCTCTGTTTATGTTCTACCTACTAAAATGAAATGACCACTGTTGTATTGCATAAGCAAAAAGCCTATCTGTTTCTTTTGTTGCAATTTCCTATTATATAACCCTCAGTCAAGAATGATAATTAGGTATCAAAAGCCATGTGGATTACTGTCAAGATCTCCCCTGACATTCATTTAATACTTAATCAGATTGTAATGCTGTAAATTATGCATTTCCAAGTAGTAATAAGAACTAAGGGGAAAGTATAACTTATCTTAGCATTATCTTGACTTCAATATAATAGGGGAAAGGTTCTAAACTTTTATTAGAAGAATCAACTATATTGTCATGTGGCTATTTGTTTCAAAGTATGATATGAATTATATACACTACAATGTTGCATATTCTATTAATGAAACTGAAAAGGGGTAAATATATATTCTTCATTTACGTCAGGGTTCCCCCAAAGTGGTCAATACTGACCCCTAAGAATTACTGAGACTATCTATTGTTGTTGTTATTATTCTTAGTACTATTATTTAAAGTAGTATCAATTATATTTCTTTTCATATAATAAATGTTTTGGGGTCAGTGAACAATCTGAAATTTCCTGAAGAGGTCAATGTGCTTAAAAGTTTGGGGACTCCTGATTTAGGCCCTGGGAACTGGTATTCTTGACTAAATGCCAAGTGTATTCTGTGTTTCATTTTAAAATATGCCATTTTCTCTTTTTGTCAACTCTCTGAAGTCCTTACAGTCCTTGCAGATCTGCCCTAGGATATCCTCTTAATTCTTGGGAATGTATTAAGAAGACAGGACTAGATAAATCAACTGGATAAATCCATCTTTGAGGACATTTAGTAATTATCATATTTTCTGCATTTTTTTTTTCAGTTACCTTGTATAAAAGAAAATATTAGAAAGACCAGTTAGTTTGGGTTGTTTTTTCTTTAAGACATTTTATTGCTTTATTATTCTGGCTCTTTTGTACCTATGCCTAATCTTCTGGATTTGATATTTCTTGTTTGATAATAATATTCTACTGTTCCGCTTCTCCTAAACAGAACTCACTTTAGTTCTATTTTGTTAGACATAAAGACTTCACTCTAAATGACAATGCAAGATATGGGGGAATTCTTTACACCTAAGAGTCAGATTATTTATATAGTAGAAAGATTAACAGCAACTAATCATCAAATATTTGGATGGTGCCAGCATTTCAGTCTTAATCAAATCTTATCAGTAGGGATTCTAAATATTTCCACATTTTCTTCTTGCTCTAATGTTTGTTTATCCACCTGAAAAAAAAATCCTTTATGCATTTTAATGTTTCCATGAAAGATTTTGATGTTTAAATATTGAGCAGTTGAAATTCACTGTTATGATGTAAAGCCTCAAATTTAGCATTGCATAAAATTGTTTCTTTAAAATATTATTCAGGAACTTTCTGTGAGATGGAAATCAATAAATGTGACAGTAATCCCTGCAAAAATGGAGGCTCCTGCAGAGATAATGTAGGCCTGTATAAGTGCATCTGTCCATTGGGTAAGTCTTTTGTGGCTAGTAGTTGTCTGCCTTCACTTTTTAATTTTGATTCAAATAAACAGTGTAGCAACAAAACCTTGAAAATGAAAATGTACTGTATATTAAGACACAAAGCAAACATTTTCCTGAAATATATCCCAGACAAGAGTAATATAAGAAATTTGAAGAACTGCTTAGAGGATGGATACATGTGCACACCCACACAACACAGCTACATGTTGCCTCAGGAATTCTGGGAGTTGAAGTCCACCGGTTCTAAAGTTGTCACACTTGCCCACCTCTTGTATACATTGAATCATTTCTGATTTCTTGTTTCCATAATGCTAAAATAATATTCCTTTCAGGATCCCATGTGTATATTCACAAGAAGCCAACAGTAATGCAACCATTGAAATGCTAAATTCAGTTAAAGTTTTAAGAAATCTTGAACAGATGTGGTCTTGTTTCTGAAACAAAAAAAATATTGTTCCATAGGATTCCAAGGTCAGCAGTGTAAAGTAAATATTGATCCCTGTTTGTTTCACAATATAACTTGCAACTCTGGAGCTCAGTGTGTGGACAAACCTTATGACCTGGCATATATATGCAGGACAGCATGCAAGGAAAATTCAGAGGTAAGGAAAATATAAATGGTGACAATTATTCTTCAGAGAGAAGAAAAATATGAAACAAATCCACCCAGAGTATTCTGTGATAAGATGGGTAGCCAATAAATTTAATAATAAAAAAATGTTGGAACTAAATATGCTATATGCTAAACATAGATAGACCTCGATTTATAACCATTCATTTAGTATTATCCATTTTCAACCTTGTATTAAAATGAAAGACCCCTTGATTTTTTTTTTCTAACAAAATGCAATTTTCTAACAAAATTTGCAAGATATCTCTAGGAATATTTCTCCACCTGGCAAAGCTGGAATTTATTCTATACATTTTATCAGTTTGTGCTTCCGTATCTTCCTCATCCAGAGCCAAAAAAAGAAAAAAGAAAAAAAAAAGGTAAAACATTGATAAATTTTCATCTGGAAGTTCAGTTGATGAAATTTCACCTTTGTCTTCTCTTTTCAGGATTTGTATCTAACATCTGAAGGTTCTGTCCCTCATTTATAGATCATTATGTACTAACTGGAAACCCAACTAAATGACATCACAGCACCAAGATATATTTGGCAGCTCAAAAGAGTCAGATAGATGACATAGACTTGTTGGGATATCATCAAGTAATTCCAAGGGCTGTAGATTAAGTTGCAAAGACAAATGCATCAAAGAAAAGCAATCATTTATGTATTGTTGCCAATTAAACTACATATACATATACCTATGAAATCACCCAAAACAGAACAACTGCAGGAGAGATATTTTTTATAACTGAGAATGTCTGGCCTAATATGATCAATAGAGTTGATCAATATATAGGGGATTCCCAAAAATCGTACCCCTATATATGGTAATGCATTTACCAATGAGATATTTGATTTTTAAGTCTATTATTTAGTCCTGAATATGAAATAACCTATAAATCTTACACAGATTGCTTCAAAATATTTAATGCAAATTGTCTGCCATGTGAGAAAAATGTTATGCATTTCATTTATCTCTAACAGGGTAAATATCATTTCCCCTGGCAATATTCTGAAATGATGAAGTAATCATTATGGACATTTCAGCTAGTGAGTGACAGTAGAAGTGAAGGTTTTTAGTGTAATATTTGTAAGGAGTTCTCATACTTGCTTTATTTTATTTATACAGATTATAATGTACATTTATGTTAGGATTCTGGGCATTTAATCAGATAAATCACTTTTTTCTGAAATAAATGAGAAGAGAGGTTACAAGAATTTATGTTTTTAAGTTTTCAATAATACCAAGATTCTAAACGTTAATGGCATTTGCTTAATTAAATGAAAAATTGCTAAAAAAAATTATTCAGGATTGTATTTGGCACAATTATGAAAAGATTATCCTATGATTATGCTATAAAATATGCTGTATCATTAATAAACAATATACTGCATATTTCAAAAGAATGTGCCCTGCTTTCAAGATATTATGAGATTTACACAGTTTCAAATGTGGAGGAAACCATGTTAGCAGAAAACTGGTGAAGATGACCTATGGAACACTTTGTGTCTAGTCTAACAAAGAAAAGGACTGGGGTGACATGATATCAATCTTCTAATATTTGAGAGGCTATCAGAAAGAAGAGGGGAACAACTTATTCTCCAGAGTACCTGAAGGCAGGACAAGAAGTAATGGATGGTTGTGAGTTGTGAGTTCTCCATCACTCCATCACTGAAGGTTTTATGAAGACATTGGACAGCCATTTGTCTGAAATGGTATAAGGCAGGGATGGCGAACCTATGGCACACGTGCCACAGGTGGCACATGGAGCCATATCGGTGGGCATGTGAGCATTGCCCTAGCTCAGCTGTAGTGTGCATGTGTGCACTGGCCAGCTAATTTTTGGGCCTTTCGGGCCCAACGGAAGTTGGGAAACCGGAGGTGGGTGCCAAGGCAGGGAAAGCCATTCTCCTAGGACCCACTAAATGTAGGTCCCTAGATGATGGCACCTAGAGCATGCCTTCTCTGCCAGATCTAATGCTGATGTAAGTGAAAAGAAGTGGTCCCTCAGATAGCAACTGAATGTTTTTGGTTGCCCAAATAATTATCCAGCCTCCATTTGGGAATAGTTGTCCTCTCAAAAACTTTCACATTCATCCTATCTTCTGCACATTTTGCATTTATGAAGTCTGATTTGCTGTTGGATGGCAGTTTGAGATTTTCACAATTTGAGATACTAAAGGTAAAGGTTCCCCTTGCACATATGTGCTAGTCGTTCCTGACTCTAAGGGAGGGTGCTCATCTCAATTTCAAAACCAAAGAGCCAGCGCTGTCTGAAGACCTCTCCATGGTCATGTGGTTGGTTTGACTAAATGTCAAAGGCACATGGAACACTGTTACCTTCCCACCAAAGGTGGTCCCTATTTTTCTACTTGCATGTTTTACGTGCTTTCAAACTGCTAGGTTGGCAGAAGCTGGAACAAGTAACAGGAACTCACCCCGTTACACGGCACTAGGGATTTGAACCACTGAACTGCCAACCTTTTGATCGACAAGCTCAGCATCTTAGCCACTGAGCCACCGCATCCCTAGAGCTATTAAGGCACCTCTTTTGACTACAATCAGTCCCTTTTGATTGATGAATTCACTTTCTTCTTGGATTCTGGCAACTGATGCAATGTGTCTAGCCCCATCACTGTGGCTATATATATGGCTTTTCTAATTCCAATCTTCCGGAGTGCTTTTATTTCCTTTCCTGCTTTTCTCCGATACAGTGGCTGACATCCTCTTGATACCTTCCATCTTTCTTTCTTTCTTTTTTCTTTTTGGCAGTGCAGAAAACCTTTAGGGTAGAATATCTTTGTTGGGTTCTCTGAGTATCTTGGCTCTGGAGCCTCAGTTTCCATTTCAGGAAATTGCTCTTGAATTGTAGATGTGTGCTGAATAGCTTGCTGGAAGACCTTTTAAACTCAATTTGTTGCTCATCTGGGCATGGAGAACAAAATCTATGACTTCACATTTATTCTGTTGTTTCCTTTCCTCAAAACAAATAGTGCAGTGCAGTGTTGTAATACTGTGTGTAGGGAAATCTAGGGTTCTTTATCCTTAAGTATTCTAGCTGTGCCCCTTTTCAGAATTTCCTGCAATTCCGTTTTATCCTCTTCCATTTGAGCATGTCGGCATAACTTTATTGCCAAGCGTTTGTCCTAGTCTGGGCTTCTTCCCAAGCCACAACTCACAGGGAATTTAACTTTAATTGTTTAATTTAATTTAATATTTAAAACATTTATATGGCTGCCAAACTCAATGAAGGTGACTCTGAACAGTTTGCAAAAATAAATAAATAAATAAAAAATCAACAAAACTATTGAAAAGTATACAAAGCCACACTATATAACCTTACAGTCATGAAATAACAAATGAATTAAATAAAAATGTGATCCAGAGATGAATGACACCATTATCCAATCAGGGTTCCAGTACATCTTAGGAATGCAGTAGAAAGGCCTGGGAAAAAGGCCTGGGAAAACCATATTCTTTGTTTTATGTTCTACGTTCTATATGTCAGAAGGAACCCAATGCCATAAAAATGTTGCATTTGTTTATTTTACAAATAGGTGGCTGTGTTGACAGCTTCTTTCCAATATTTACTTCCTCATTCTGCATGATTTCAATTACAAGAGTTTCCCTTTCTGCTCTGTCATTCTATTCTGTGGTAGAGTGCATTGTAACTAGTGATGAAGGCACCAGGCTAGAAAATTGGGAAGCTGTGAATTCTAGTTCTTCGTTAGGCATGAAACCTGGCTGGGGGAATTTGGGCCAGTCATTCTCTCTCAGCCCAGTCCACCTCACAAGGTTGTTATTGTGGAAAAAATAGGAGGAGGACGGAGTACTGTGTACTTTCACTGCCATGAATTATCTATAAAGTACCGTATTTTCCGGCATATAAGACGACTTTTTAACACATGAAAATTTTCTCAAAAGTCAGGGGTCGTCTTATACGCCGGGTGTTGTTCTCCTGTAACCAGGCAGACCAGCCCGAAAGGCTCTGACGAGCCTTAAATGGCTCTGGCGATCCCAGCTCTGACGATCCCAGCTGAGTTCCCTGCAACTCAGCTGGGATCGCCAGAACCATGGCTCTGACGGTCCCAGCTCTGATGGTCGATCCCAGCTGAGTTCCCTGCAACTCAGCTGGGATCGCCAGAAACCATGTAAAAGGAAAAAAGTTTTTTCCCTTTTACTCTGACGATCCCAGCTCTGACGATCCCAGCTGAGTTCCCTGCAACTCAGCTGGGATGGCCAGAGCCATGTAAAAGATAAAAAGTTTTCCCTCTCCAGCTTGCTTACCTCAGCTGCTAGTCCCAATGCTTGCCTTGCTTCGCTTGCCTGAATCTATTCCATCAGCAATCAGCAATCAAGCAAGCAGGGAGTTGTGGACTTCAACTCCCAGAATTCCTCAGCCAGCAAAAGCTGGCTGAGGAATTCTGGGAGTTGAAGTCTACAAGTCTTAAAGTTGCCAAGGTTGGAGACCCCTGTTCTATTGGGTAAGTTTTTTTCCCCTTTGGGAGCTTTAAAAAAAATAGTCAATTGGGGTTTTTTTAGTTGTTCTTTTTTAGACCTAGCCATTTAAAGTTTAGGAAGTTTTAAATTTAGCTTTCATATAAAAATAAAAATAAAATAAAATAATATTTGTGCAGCTTTCTGAGATTTAGTGTGTTTCTGTAGTGTTTCACTCTAACTACACAAACACACAAAATCTCACAAAGCTGTATGTGGAATTTTGTGTGTGTAAAGTGTGAAAGTTGGTTTTTTGGACTTTTTGTGGCTGTGTGAGGTTCCTGCTTGTTGCAGGGGCCATTTTGGTCTAGCACAGCTGCTTTTACATTGTGGGTGAGCCAGTTGTGTTGTGTTATGTGTGTTTAGAGTGTGAAAGTTTTTTGGGGGGGCTTTTTGTGGCTGTGTGAGGTTCCTGCTTGTTGCAGGGGCCATTTTGGGTCTAGCACAGCTGCTTTTACATTGTGGGTGAGCCAGTTGTGTTGTGTGTGTGTAG